TTTTAATAAATAAAAGTTAAAGTACCATCTTAAATATTTTTCAAAAGTTTAGGGCAGATAGCTGCTCCCCCCACCCACCCCTTCTCCATCATTGGCTCCATCCCTGTCCTCAACCCGTGGGGTCTTTGTTACAATCCCTAATGGTAACCTTCTACGCTCACATTCGACATCTTAAAGTCGTCCCACTACTTTGGAAAAAAAATGTTCAAAGTCGTCCTTCTACTAACGGCGGCACTAACCTTATTGGATAAGCACCAGGGAACGGATTCAAGGGCAAGGATGATCCTTTAGGTTTTTCCACTCCATTGAATCAAGAGAACAAGTAGTGAAGCGAGAAGAAATCCTACGTTAATAATTTAGTCTACTCTATTTGTCGCCAATGAATAATGATTATTTTTTCAACCAAACAAGTCCCAAAGGGCAAGTTTGGAGAATTTGATTGAAAATTGATAAAATAAGATTGCAACTGTAGAATTAGATAGGACTAGGTCAAATATGCTATACTACAATATTGAAATTCAATGACATATTTATTCAGCTGAAAAAAAAAAATTCAATGACATATTTGCTTGGTTATTAAGATAGATAATGATCGATACACATTTTAGTTTAACGTATTATAAAATATATTTATTAAAAAATTATTATTTTTAATTTAAAATTAAAAATAAATAAATTTAAAAATACAATTATACATACATGATACAAGAACTAATTGAATCAATTATATTTATATTATATTTTAAAAATTAAAGTAAAATGAGTGTTAGAAAATGTGTTAAATTAAACATGTACTAATCATTTCTCTATTAAGATAAGGAAGATTTGCATAACAGTAGCTTAATTCCTCTCCAAGAGCCTTGATTCCACAGATAACCATTTCAAATTAGTGGTTCTTGAGTTCCTCCATGCAGTTTTTCGTAGCCATTAATGTTGGACATTGGAAGGAGAGGCAGAAGAAGATGGGCTGAGGTTAAAATCAATGGTTCCAGCAAATTGTTACCTACATGTCGAGTCAAGCCAAACTAGAGATGAAAGAGAAAACCACAAAGGAGAAAAGAAAGAGTAAAAAATACTTCAAAAACTTAATCTAATTGCCATGCCAGTAGCATGGGCTTGGTTTGATACTACAACTTTGATGCACTTGCAATGGAACTGATGATGCAGCAGATTTATTAAATTTTGATTGCAATTCAGATAAATTAAGGAAGATGTCCGTTCCAACAGAAGTCTTGTACTTAATTTAAAATTAATTAAAAATAATTTATAAATTTTTTTATTATTTATTTGATGTGAAATTTTTTTACTTTTAACATTTAAAATTCTTTTCAAATTTACACTTAACTGCTATTTGAATTTCTATTAAAGTTAATCTTTATTTAATAACAAACTTGCCATGAACCATTCTTCTAAAAAAATTGCAATTGTATGTAATTGATACCAGCAATATTAAACTTGGTTAAACAAGGTACTTGTTTTTGGAGAGTTTTGGAGGAATGCAAACTTATAGTGCAATACAATTCTCCTAAAAAATTAGGTGCATACCAATAAGAGTTTAGTTGAATTCTATGATGATGTGATTTTATTATTGCCGGCAATTGAACCTAGGACTTGGAAGATAAAGAACGAGATACAATGTATTCAGATAGAAAACAAAAGTGGAGAAGAAGATATGGATATACATATTTGAACTGATGAATTTGTATTAACATTAACATACTTACGAAGTAAGGGTGGAGAAGAGATTGGGGATGATATGCACCACCAAGACAAAATGTAGAACTCATGAGTTTGTCCTATCATTAATGAGGTTTATTTGATCTAGATCTCTTTCATTCAGAATGACATCCTGCCTCTGTTATTTATGTATTTATTTTACTATAAAAATGATACAATTATAATACTGCATAGTATTGTAAGTTTTATAATTTGATCCTCAATCTTCTCATCTTTCCTTTCTCTTTTCCTTTCTTTTTTCTACCTTTTCTCGATTCTCTTTCCCTCTCTTCTATGCTTGCATAGATCTTGTAAATCAGGCCATGGGGAAGATGGAAAAAGCAGAAAAGGGTCCCATTTGGTAAATGAGTTCAAATTACATGGTTGATGGAAACCTGAAATATCAGTGTAATATAGCCTTCCCTTATTTGACAAATCACATCATCAAATCATCAATTTCTTTAAGAATAAAATTACAGAGTGAAACATGTTAATATGCAGTTAGGTGTGAGTGAGTCACAACTTCCAATAACTAAAAAATTTGATTAATTAATCAATATATAAACAATGGAAGCTTGACTAAAGAAGAGGAAATTAAATATCCGTATACTAAAGAAGAGTTGTGATTCTTGTGAAGATTATTTCAAAGGTTTCCTTTACTGAGAACAGAGCATGCTGGAAAGTAAAAGCTATGAACTGCTACGGGAGCCGGTTGATCTTTGGGGTTCATAGGATCATAAGAAACCAGAGCTTTCTTGTTACACTCCAACACAATCTTCCCGTTCTTTGGAACATAAAACTCTTATGAATCTTCCCACCCAGCTGAAAGCAAAATCTTCAATCACCATTCCAAGAGAAGCATTAGAACACTTGTTATACTCTTACACAATCTCTCCGTTCTTCAGATCTGCTTTTCGAGAAAAAGGCAGATAACAGTCAGGTGGGTACAACAGAGGTCATCCATGATGATGTAAATAACACAAATGTTATTGATGCATTGCCGATCAAAGATTCAACAAAAACTAAAAAATTAGTAGTACAGTCTTACAGAAAAAGGGTTGATGCAAGAGAGAGAGTTAAAGTTGCAAATTCATGGTTGCCTTTGCTGAGAAAAGAGAAGGTAGAAAAGGAAGTGCCTGGAACCAATTTGGTAACCCACTGATTTGAAGAGTCTTGAATCTGTTTTCCACAGGATCATAAGAAACCAGAGAACTGTCTTCATTCTGCAACAGAATCTCACCATTCTTCAGTGCACATATAACTGTGAAAAACCTTGGCCATCCACCTGGAACATAGGTATCAAAGGAGAATTGTTTTACCCAAGATTCCTTAACACGGTATTGCTTCAACACCCAGGTATCAAAATGACAAGTATCAACCAACCCAGCTGCCGATAGACACCCATTGAGCACGGAGAGACTGTAGTCACGTGACACAAATCGTTGACAAGGTGGGTGCGGAATTTCTCCGAACACCTCATCTGCAAGCTCGAAGGAGATAATACCATAGATAAGTCCGACTCCTCCCAGCTCAACATCAGTCACCCAATGGAGAGATCCTTCAACTAGAGCCTCAGGTGGCCCAATTTCATCCGTCAATTGTGGAGGCGGAGCTCCTTTCTTTCTCCACTCTGTTGTTCCTACGGTAAACACCTGAACCATTGATTCATAAACGGTTGTGAATCCATCATTCACTTCTTCCACAACTAGCTCCGGATCTGCTACCGTCATGATCTTCTCGTAGCACAAAATCCTCACCACTTTGAATTCTCCCGTCCTTGGATGAAACCCAAATCCAAAAACTTCACTTTGATTCAGAAATCGGTTCGCTGGTGGGACTCTCACAGCGTCTCCAACAAAAGGATTGTAAATTAGCAGACTGTGAGACATGGGAGACATGTGAGACACCGATGAACCACCGATTATGGGAATGGATAAGCATAACAGCCCGTTACAAGAACCCACCAGATTATAAAATTTCGAATGCTGTGGTGCGTCGATTCTCCTAACCTTTCTACTGCAACCCTCACTATCCACAAAATAGAGTCGCCGGGGGGCAGGGGAATTGTAGCTGAACACAATCAGACATGGATTTGAGTTGCTTACCCGATTACCGAACATCTGAGGAAGTCTTGGATCGGAGATTAAATTACGGCCGGCATGGGAAGTGCTCTTGAAGTGGATCAGAGAGGTGACCGGAAGTCTTGATAGGATTTCGAGCAGAATCTCCGGTGGGAGAAGATCTATCCGGACCATCGCTTTGTTGGAAGTATCATCTCCAAGGTTGATTCTTTT